TTAACGTATAAATATATGTACATAGATCTATTTCCCTATTGTTGTATACAAATATATTTACCTATGTACATGCCTGTATTTAGACCTCTATAAATGTCCTTGCTGAGGCTGTAAATTTTTAAGGGAGCACATAGCCTCGTGTTTTTCCTGTGGAGTGATGGATGGATTCAAACTGCCAACGTTGCGGCTGCCAGTCCCATGCTAACCTGACAGCAATTGTTGGGACCCAAGAGAGTATGAACTCAGCAGGACGGTTTTGGTTTTGGGAGTCTTGAAAGCTTTTTGTTTGTGACAGGGTGAAGCCTGACCACTTTTCTACTGTTGCTTTTAATGGAAATATTTGAGTTTTCCTTTTCTGACAGGTTCTCATCATATACAGTTTCTGCCTTTCTCCAGTTTCACTGTGCATATTTTATAGAACATTGGTTCTGATTGCACATATTATGAAAATTATTTTCTCCTGCCAATCCCTGGGTAACGATAATTTTTAAGTGTATCAATCCCATTGTGCCTTCTGATTTTGCAAATACTCTCAATGCCAATGAAATTTGGTAAACAACAGCAAAGGGTCATACCTTTATACCATGTATGAGATTTGACTCTTCATATCATCTCTATTTTTAAAATATCTACATAACTCTAATTGGGTATACAGATAACTCAACTCCCCCCCAAAACAAACAAGCAGAAAACAAACTCACTGCTTTGAGTCAGCTTTGACTCAGAGATCCGATAGAGCAGAATAGAACTCTACCTGTGCATTTCTGAGACGATAACTCTTTAAGGGAGTAGAAAACCTACCCTTTCTCCTGTGAAGCAGCTAGTGGTTTTGAACTGCTGACTTTGTGGTTAGTAGCCCAACACAAAACCCACCACGCCACCAGAACGCCATGACTTCTCAACTATTGGGTGATAATGTTAGTCTTTCAAATGAAGCAAAAGACCTTTGAACACGACAAGCATCTCCTCTCTATTTGTTGTATTAATATGTCAGTACTAGGTTAGTCAAGAGGCCCAGAAAATGGAGGGACCACTGAAAGACTGGGTAGGAATATAGGGGAATGATTGGTATTGAAAGTTTTGTGGTAGTTCAAAAGTCAAAACCTGATTTTAATACTAGAAGTGCTTAGGAGATTCCACAGATTTTGAAGGAATGTTGGCCATGCAGTCAAATTCTGGTGTTGCCACTACCTCACAGTGTGTTTGTGGGTAGATTATATCATGTCTCCATTTCACTTTACTTTTAAAAATGGTATGGGTAGAAAAGATAGAATAGAAAAAGGGAAATATTTAAAGTGTATAGCTTAACAAATTTCCCCAAACGCTACATATTGGGCTGCTAACCATACATTCAATTAAAGAAATATGAGGGAGCTTCAGAAATTTCATTGGAAATTCCAAGATCTTTTCATCAATTTTTCATGAACTTTTTGAAGCCCCCCTCATAGGCAATTAGCAACTCTGAAAGTTCAGCCAGGCCCCTTCCTGTATAACTCACCTCTTATCCCCAAGGGTGATCACTGCCCTGACTTATGGCACCATGGATTGATGTCATCTATTTTTATGCTTTTTCGTGATTAGAATCATACAATATGCACCTTTCTTGTAAGTTGGATGTCTTTTGTTCAGCACGTTTGTGAGATCCATTCACATAGTCACTGATAGTTACCTTCAGATCATTCATTCTCGCTGCCACACACTAGGCTGGTCTTTGAATATAACCAAACCAGACTCACTGCCATGGAGTCGATGCTGACTCAGAGCAATGAGGACACAGTCGGCCCAACCCTGGGTTGCTGAGACTGTAACTGTTTAACAGAGTAGAAAGCCCCATCTTATGAATATACCAGAATCTATCAATCCATTCCACACCTGAATTTCTAGAGTTTGCCTTTTATAACTGGGATCCCATGACGTGCATGACTTTTGGCACAGGAATTTGTATTGGGTATATGTATACAAGCAGTGGGGTTCCCGGGCTACATAGTGTGCCCATAGTAGAGGCTGCCAGCATTGTAGCAGAGTTCTGGTTACTCCACACTTTTGCTGCCACCGGGTGTGGTTTGTTTTAGCTGTCCCGGGGAGTATACTTCCTAAATAATGGAGATACTTAAAAAAATACTTGTATTAGGGGCTCTTACATCTCTTATCACAATCCATACATTCATCCAGTGTGGC